GGTTCACACAGGCCCATTCCTTGAGCTTCTCGAGGTCCCCCTGGATGGCATCCCAACCCTCAGGCGTGTCAACCATACCATTCAGCTTGGTGTCATATGCAAACTTGCTGAGAGTGCACTCAATCCCACTTGATGCTACATGAAGCCTGAGATCAAGCAATTGGCTACCTCTTTTCAGCTTTTTTAGTGTTTTTTGCTAGCTTCTTAATCAATTTCTTCACCAGCACCAGGCTGCCATCTCAAGTCTTACTCCTTAGGTGGCTTGATCTACACGTATGACGTTTAGGACAAAGTGGTCACACAGCTCCTTGCTGTGAAATCCACTGGGTGCCATCATGACCAAAGAGGAGGTCATAGCTCAGCATTGCGGTGTCTAAGTTTCCTTTGTCCATTATACCTGAAACCTGAAATCAAGAAAACCATAACAGTGTATTTTGGTCTTCGTAAGGGCCATCTCAGTAATGTCCCCATTTCATTATGCTTCCGATTTTGATCTTTCAATTGTCTGTTTTCTCCCTACACATCTTCACTCTTGCCACTTCTAGCTGAAGGGAAAGAGCAATACTGGTCCTACATGAGTTCTTTCCCCTTCCTACCACCCCTAAGGTCTAGCAGATCCCTCTGGAAAACCACCTGACTTTGCTGTGCAGAAATAAAGTACCACAGATAATATTTTGATGAAGGCAATAACAAAAGTGGAAGGTTTTTTTTGGATGGGCTTATGATGCATTTTCCTGGGAAATGAACATGTCTTAAGGAATTAATTTTGGGGCAATGCAGGAAGGGGTTGCTTTCTGGTTGAAACAGCTTTCTGGCTGAAACACAGAATAATATTTGATGATAAATTATTATTTCAAAAAGTATCCAAGTGAACAACCATAACAGAGAAAGGAAGTTTAGAATGCAGTAAATCATGTTTTCTTTCAAATTGGACATAGATAAACAGATAATGGCTCTAATATTTGTTTCATTGGAATTTGTGTTTAGCCTGTTTTCCTAAAGAAATCAGAATTATGTGATCATGTTCTCTGTGTGGGTTGGTCTCACTCTCTCTCTATCCAACACTCAACATAAAATAACTTTTGAACTCACAGCCAGCTTCAAAAACATTTTTCAGAGGGTGGGAATCTGAAAAATAGTGACATTATCATTGTGTCCTGAGAAATGGTGGTTAAGGTAAAGGAGAATCATCTAAGTTAGTGTCCAGCTGAGGAAAAAGCAGGGAGAAGTCAGCCATAATATTCTGTTTGACAGCAGCCAATTGATCAGTGAATATGTGTGTCCCAGCCAGACCATCAACACACACTATGCAAGATATATTCTGTCTCTGTCTGCTGAAAGTTCATACATGATGACGAAGCTAGGGTTATTCTGATGGAGAGAAACACGTGAAATACAGGGCAAAAATCTGCAGGAAGCAGTGTCAAGTTAGATCGTATTGCCTGTTACTGCATTTCATATTTTAGTATCATTTTCAGTGTGTTAGTGTTGATTTAAGAAACTTAATTATTATAACATGTGGTGATAATCTTCTAAAACAATAATTTTCTTTAACAGGTCAATTATAATTTTGATAAAAACCAAGAAAAAAAATAGAGGAGTTATTCAGGAATTATGTGAACGGAATTGGCTGCAGGGTCTTTTCAAGGCAGTTTGATTTCTGGATAGAGACAATAACACAACGGAATGAACATTCTTGTTCATTTTCAGTCTAAGTATAACCTAGACTGAAGAGGGCTATTAAACACAATTGCTGAAATACAAGGAGTTACCCTCCTTACCCTCATGGAGCATTCTGGTCATACAATTTGAATACACAGACTTTCAGGAACTGGAATCCATTTATTCTTTACAAGCCAATGGCATAAGTCATTTGATAGATACTCTGATACTCATTTTCTTTGTCACCTGAAACATACTTAAGTGTGATTCTAGCATAGACCAATATCATTCCTTACCGGCAGAAACATTCCTCCATGAATGTCTTTTCACATAATGCTGACATGTCGATTTGCTGGGTTATTGGGTGGTGCCAGTCATCACTGCATAAGTAAGATTTTAACATATGTCCAGCTAGAATGTAAGAGATGCTTTGACTATGAAAATAGTATGCTTTGTTTTGTGTATTCATAGAATAATTTAGGTTATAAGGGACATCTGGAGTTCATCTGTTCCAACACCCTAACTCTAATCAGGGCTAACTTTGCAATTGCATAAACTTATCTTTAATGTCTTTTGGATGCTTGGAGGAAGCATGCAAAAGAGCAATTTTAAATAATAAAAGGAGAAAGTTTTCTTCCTCCGGTATTGCAGGGGCTTAATGTTAGACTATGAGTCACTCCTTGGAGTTTCTCACTAAACAGACTATAGGAAAAGCTAAGGTGACTAGCCTCCCAAGACTGCAGGCAGCCCTTGCTGTGTCTCGAGGGTTTAATATCTCTAAATCACAGTTTATCTGATTGCCCTCACCTGAATAGGTCTGTGCACCATGGCTGGTATATCAAACAATATATGTATAAATTCTTAAAATTTACACAGTTACCAACCCCAAAACTTCAGTCCCTTCAGTCATTCCTGGCACAGTTCTATCAAATATGTCCTTTTCATGGAAAACTTACATGTGAATATTTTTTAAGCCCTGGAATTAATGCTTTTTTAGGTTTATTGATCTGTACCTCATCACCTATTGGTCTAATCAGCAGGTCACCTGCAAACCACAGTGTGAATTCAATTGATATACTGCTGTGCTTGTGTTACAAAATTATTTTATTATGTGCCCAGACCTAATTGTGACATACTAGGGGATATTCAGCATAAATCTGACTATGCTGGACATTTTATTATGACTTTGCTTTACAGATTAATAAAAAAAGGATTTTTTTTTCTCTGAGTAGCTTTTACATATGAATGTATTTGTACTGCTTCTAAAATGGTTGTATCAGATGACAGATACTTCTTTTTCCAACAGGCAAATGGTTTAACTATGGAATTATCTTCCTTGTTTTAATCTTGGATCTGAATATGTGGAAGAACCAAATATTCTACAAACCTCAGGAATATGGTCAATACATCGGTCCTGGACAGAAGATCTACACAGTGAAGGACTCAGAAAGCTTGAAAGACCTTAATAGAACTAAGTTGTCTTGGGAGTGGAGATCCAATAACACTAACCCACTGACAAACCGGACCTATGCTGAAGGAGACATGTTCTTGCACAGCAGATTCACAGGCTCTAGCCTTGATGTCAAATGCCTGGCTTTTATTCCAAGTTTGCTGGCTTTTGCTTTGTTTGGTTTCTTCATCTGGTTCTTTGGGCGATTTCAGAAAACTGACCAAGGCATGGAGAATTTAGACAAATCATACACAAGAATGAAACGAAAGTCACCGTCAGATATGGGAATGACACGAGAAAATACACAGGTGTTAGTAGAAGAACCATTAAGTTTTCAAGAACCACATCTCGTATCCATAAAATCAGACTTAAGTGAAATAGTTTTTAATTCTTCTCTCCTAACTTCTGAAAACTTGAACGCACAACTGAATGAACAAGATAGCCCTTTACAACCAGTGCCAGAGTCCTCTGTCCCTAAGAGTAATCCTGTGACATAGAGGCAAATACCCAGGAAAATCAGTTTAAATAAGCAGTTACTATAAGATTTCAGTTTTACCTTTTGTAAGTTAAGATTTACATAGCGTTTAGAATAAGAAACTCAACCTATACCAAAAGGTGCTCAGCATGCTTTTTTTCTAGGAATTTTGTTTTTTATTTGTATTATAGTACGTGCCTACTGTATATCTAACATTCCTTTCTAGATTGCTTCCCAAAATCGCACAAGCTATTTATTAATACATTACCTTAACTGTATAATAGTGTATTAGATGATTACTTGCAGGTATAAAATTCTACCGTGGTGGTGCCTTGAGACATTAAACTGTTTTTTAACTCGACACCAGATATATAGCACAGTTCTTCTAATCTATTTTGCAAAGCTTTTTGTATATCGTTATTTCAAGTATCATTTGATGTCTTGACAGAGGAGATAAATATAATTATTCCTAAAAAAAGGTTTCTGTTAGGACATCACAACTTGACTTTGTTATTTACTCATCTGTGAAGCCAGTGACTTTGATGACCGGACTGCAGAGAAGCATGTTGATTACCTTTTAATTTTTGCTGGCTAGCTGCCAAACACAAATACAGATTCATTATGCGGTAAACAGCAGAGTGATAATACAGCATGGGTCACTACTTGTGAAAATACGACTTTCTCCATCCGTAATAGCAATTAGGTGATAATGCCTAATTATATTTTTCCTAATTAAAGATAAAATGCTCCTTGATGAAGAGTTTTGCCCTTCACCTTTTAAAAACAGAGGTGAAAATACATGGTCAAAGCAACCCTTTCCATCATCACACCAAACCTATGCAGCATCAAAGAGCCAATGGAGTGATTACAGTAAAGGACGCGAAGCCCATTAAATCCGGTATTTGTGTGGGTCGATGCAAATATAGTCTGGGCATATGTGAAACATACATAAAAACACACCACATATAGACAGTCTAACTTCTGTAAATACTGAAGAAATGTTATGGGGTTTTAATTAAAATAGATTAGTAATCGAATTCCGTTGTACTGGTGGTTTTTTTCCTTCGTTCATTATCCCTGAATAAGTGTAACCTGGAAGCAGAAACACAGAGAAACTGAGGTTTTTTTCTTTTTTGAAGGGGACTTTGTAATGTCAATTCCTCTGCTGTATGATCAAATTATATGCACTAAAAATTGCATAACTAAACATCTGAAAGACTCTGATTTGCCTCTAATTTAGTTCTATAAATTGTTGTTACAAGTTACTAAATAATAAGTCATTTTTAAGTCTGAATTATTTCCCTGTCATTTACTGGTGTTGCTGCATTTTGTCTTTGTGACTTTTTTATCTCCGCTGTTTTGATCTATCTGCTTTTAAGTTTTCGGAATGCTGGATTTAGCATGCATAATAGAACTATGCATTTATTAACTGTCACTTGAGAGCCACTTTTAATAAACATCATTCAACAATTGTTTATTATGAGGCAGGAACATATTCTGTTAGTTTTGCAATTTTTTAAAACATTTTACCCACACGTTGTCCTGTTTAAAATCATAAATATTTCTGACACTAAAAAAGACAGGCAGTATCACAGTAATGTCAAAATCAAATATTTTTCTTATGGAACATTTAATATTTCATCAGGAGAAAGTTCACTTTATAATCAGACTAAATTTTTATCCATTAAAAATTATGACTAAAAATAAATCTATTAGCTTTTGCCTACCGCAGCCTATAAACTTATTTAATTGACTTAAGATATAGTCAAAGCCAAGCCATTAATTACTAATGGTAAAGCACTGTGAGGTCCTGCTTGTACTATAGGAGGTGACTATATTCATGTTTGACTTTCAAACAGCATTGGATTTCTTAAGTAGTTACAGAAATATCTGATTCCTTTTGCAGATACATGCTTCTCTGTATGCTTTGGACGCTGTAAACCCAAGTACTGAAAATCTCCTGTTACCTGATTTCTCCTTTTAGTGCATAGGAGTAGTTAAATCCATTAATAGGTAGGCATAAAATAAAATAATTACTTGAGCCTTATAGCCTGCATGATTACATGACTCTGAGAAAACTGTTATTAAGCAACTGATGCGCAGCTAAAATAATTCCGTGACCTCACATTGAGTTAATGCTTTTAAGGTCATTACAAGCCTGCATGGAAGAGAGAAAAGCATCAAGTAATCCTAGATTTTGCATGAGTATTTAAATTAATGGTCAAGCAGAGAGACTGCTTATATCATGAATTCATAAGAAGTTAAAAGATTCTGTGTAGCCACTCACCATGATCAACTCATCAATTTAATTAAAGGAGGAAAGACTCCTCAGTTGTGTGGGAGTCTCATTTGTAAACACAGACACAGATGGGAGAAGAGAGGAGTATTTCCACTCTCCACTTCCAGTGTTAATTTTGAGAAGCCTGAGTTAGGTGGCTAGGCTTACTCTAAGCTCCGTCTGAAGCAGGCAGAGTCTTGGGAGCTGAACACCCTAAAAGTGATTCAGTACCTAACTTGGCCTTTTATCTCTGCGTTAGTAAGTAGCACAACTCAGCAGGACTGGGTTTGTGGAGGGAAACAGTTGGTGCTGAGAAGCCAGTGCCCACAGTTTGTGCGTCTCAGGGTTTTACTTCAGTTTAGCTCTTGTCTGGTCCCTATAAACTGAATGCATGACAGTGGCTGGAGTACAGTTTGGACGAAATCTCATTCGTGTGCAGAGACCATGCAATTTGAATTAGGGTAGAGTAAGTGGGCACAACCTGCACTGAATACCTGAGCTGAGCTACCAATGCAGAGTCATCCTTGGTCTTCTCCTGAAGCAACTTATCTTCCTCCATGAACAGTAGAAGTGTCCATGGGAGACTGGGTGGCTAAGTAGGAGGTCTAACATTGGTTACCTGCAATGGAATTATTCCTCCTCTAAACACATTCATTGATTTCAACTGTTGTACCTTATTAATATTCTGAAATGCTTCGCTAACTCAAAATACTCTGAAATGCTTTCTAGTCTAGTACCCATCACTGGGACCTTGATATGGATGGTTGAGCTTTTCCTGAAAGCCTAAGTATTACACAATTTTTTTAGTATTTTTTTCTTTTCCTGAAGAAATTGAAGAATTCATAGAAGGGAAGAAACTTGAGGAAGTGTCAATTTTTTCACAGTGCACAAGTCTCCATTCTGCCCTCTATAATAAACCATCTAGCAGTCGCCATCACTACAAGGGCTGGCCTGTGTCTGCTTTGTCAGAGATCAGATTTGGTACAACAGTTCTTTTTTTTACCGTAGATACACAGTACATTGATGGATGATAGATACTGCCTAAAATAGCATACATAGAAAAGACATCTCTAGGTTAAGCACATAAGGTTTATGAGCCCACAGGTGCCTATAAATTGCCTTAGCATCCTCAACAATTACCTTTGCTGAGATGGAAATGACACGGAGGTAAGAATGTTTGTAGAAAGTACCTTAAATATAATATTCATGCTTATGAAAGTGTATATGTATGTCTAAAATCCAGCTGTATAAGAGGTGCATGTGTATGTATGTTAGGAGCCTAGGGATTAGTTGATTCTGCTGGGGGAAACCGCTGAGTCTCTGAAGCAGACGATTCCTACTGCCCTCTTTATTCTACATTGCTCCATGAGTTAGTTACACCAGGTTGCTTCATCTCCTCTGCCACCACTTCTATTGCCTAGAAAATATAAAGCCAGAAAAAGAGCATTTAATTGCACTATCTGCTTCCATAATTACTTTTTTGTCTAATATATGCAGAAGGTAAATGTGTTCTGTTTTAAAAGATTTCTGTCCTCTCCAGCTAGTGTCATCACACTCTGGGCTACTGCACTGTATTCCAGTATGTGTCAGATTATTGCTTTTCCTGTGGTGAGCAGCTTCCATCATGACAGCACCTGGAAACAAAGAGCAGACACCTCTCAAAGACTGGAAAGGCAGCAATTCAGATACATACTAGACTGGCAAGCTCATTTTCCCACGAGTTTCATTTTCATGACTCACTAGTAGAAAATGTAACAGATTTTTAATACCCTGCCCTCAATTTTAACAACCTCCTGGGAGGGAATCAGTGGGAGAGGACTTTTTATCTTGGGCCATAAAGTTGAAGAAGTTACGGTCCTGCAAGCGAAGTGTTTCAGCTTTTTAGGTTGCGTTTAAAAGTAATCAGCTTAAACTTTGAGCAGATTACAAGAACCAGAAAAATTAGACCAAACTGTGAATAAGAACATAAAGTTGATTCACTTGTAGCTGCCTGGTGCAGGATATAGACAAAACACACATTTATCAGATGTTAGAGTGACCCTGTGCTTGGGATTATGGACAGTGACTTGCAAAGATTCAAACTGTATTTATTAACAAACAGTTGCAGTCACTTCATCAACAGAGATGCCACTCCAAGCGTCAGACAGACCAGCCCTTCTACCATACGGTCTCTCTCCTCTCCATCCATTCCCTCATTCGTAAATGAGGGGTTGTTCATTTCCCTGTGCACTCAAAACTGTCCTGTGGGGAGCCTGGGCTCCCGGAATGTGCTGTGGCATGTCATTGCAACGCCCAATACACAAACTCCAAGTAGGACAACCAAGGACAGGTAAAAGGAGAAAGTCTGGTCTGTGAGTTCCACAGCCTTGAGGTGAAGAAGGATGGCTTACATGTCCATTTCAGAGGCAAATCAATATAAATGGAAGTCCTCTTTCATAGGAACACAGGGAGACAAATGGAGAGACAATAAATCACTAGAAATCCTTTCCATCCCCTTCAGACATTCAACCAGAAGCAGCAAGTCCCTGTTCCCAAATGCTCACAAACAATTCTCAGCTTCAAGATGACTTCTGGCTGAGTAGCTCTTCTGGGTGGCTAGGTTTTAACACCACCTTATCTCCCTCTTAACACTTCCTCTGCATGGGGGATGTCGGCGGCTTTTCACTGTTTGGGGGAAAGGGGTAGTTTTCTGAATGGTAAGTAGGGAAGAAACTTATGAAGGAGAAACCCCGTGAGGCTGGTAGTCTCCACAGCAAACTCCTTATTGGAGAGAGGAAAAGCATAAATCCAGCTGCTTTGCAAAGAGGAGTGAAGTAGCACCAAATCCTTTCAGAAAGATATGTTACAGCAGCAGCACAGTCACAAAGATACTTCTGATCTCATGCTTCTCCTTTGATGTGTAGCGATTGGGGTCTGCGGAAGAGCAGCTTATCTGATTCCTGCAGGCAGGTTATAGACCTGGGTCTCATGCTGCTT